AAGCAGACATTCGTTTTCGGCCCATCAAAACAATGTATGAGGGACCAAAGAGCGCTTCTGGTAGATGTATCGATAGAACGAGTATTCTTTATTGCAGGGGTATATTACACGCAAATTTGTATTAATGAAGTTCTCCGGTCTCTGTCCTCTCCCATGATAAGGAAGCAGACAAGCTCCAGGGGTGCTCAACCACGACAACCACTTTCATGATCTAGACACGATAAAACAAAAGTATCCGACCCAATGGGGCTACCCAGTTCTCTTTAGAGTCACGGAGGGCCTACACAGACCCAATCCAGGTAAGTTGGTCGAGGGGGAGGGGGGGGTGTACTCATAGTCGTGCATGCCGTAGTCGTTTGACCATTGAGGAGGGGGAGGGGGGGGATGAACGATACTGTAGCGAAGAAATATTGGTCTTCTCTCCACTCAGAGAGAGGAGAGAGGAGAGAGAAGGAAGGACCCCGTTGCTCCTTGTTGGTCGCATTGTGTACGACAGGCACGGACGGGTCTTTCACCCTCTCCCTGCCTTGCTGGTCAAACCAGCATGGATGGATGTTTCACGTTATGAAGATAGCGTCACTTCCCCCCCTTCCCCAGGCGCGGAACTACGTGTTGGACATGGCGGAGGGCCCCCGAACTTCGCTGACGGAGAGGTTTCCCGATGCCGGCGCGGATGCTCTGGACCTCTTGTCCAAGATGCTGACCTTTGACCCCTCGCGACGTATCTCTGTTCGCGACGCGATGCGCCATCCCTGGCTGGCGAGGTTCTACCAGGTGCTTGCTTTGTGTTTGCATTTGTGTTTGCTGTGTGCTTGCTTGGTGCTTGCTTGGTGCTTGCTTGGTGCTTGCTTGGTGCTTGCTTGGTGCTTAGTTTGTGTTTTGTGCTTGCTTTTGTGTTTTCTCTGCTTGCTTTGTGTTCGTTGTGTGCTTGTTTTGTGCTTGCTTTGCCTGCTGTATTTGCCTGCTGTATTTGCTTCGCTTACCTGCGTGTGGCTCTTGCTGGTGTTTGTCCTTCTCTTCCGAGCCCTGGCTTGGTCGAGGCTCTGGTTTCAGCCGTTTTGGCAGCGGGTTTTCGACGACAGGAGTCGTCGTCGGCCCTGTGAGCTTTTGAGATTTTCTTCGCTCAAAGCGTTGTGCATGTTTGTGTTCGCCATTATCAGCCGTGTCCCTCTCATGCCCCCCCCCCCCCCCCCCCCCC